TATAAGTGTTATATATCATAGTAAGTGCTAGGAACACAGAATAAAAGCAAAACTAAATAATAGTTTTTCAAGGAAGGACTCATGTTGTCCTGGTATCTGAGCTGAGCCTAAAGCGTCATTAGGATCCTAAAAGCCCAAAACAGAAGATTAAGTCTAGAAAAGAAAGATTCATGCTTAAGAAATATACCGATTGTTCTCTAATCATATAAAAAAGTCACTTGTATAAAAAGTAAACTTTGGTTCATCCTAGCAAGTTTAATATGCAAATAATATTTTGATTAGTAATAAACTGTGAAAATGAATATCAAAAGAAAGATTTAGATCTGCTATTCTGAGCTTCCAACTCACGGCAGTCAGCTGGCTAAGAAAAATGGCAAGGGGTAGCTGGCAAACTACAGGCTATTGAGATATTTATAACCACTTGAGTCTAAAAAAAAATTCCTAAGGCTTTATTTAATATTTGCAATACATGTACAAATAAAGTTTTCTAATTACTTAATATTAAATTGCATACTCTATTACTGAACTCCTCAGGGAAGAAGATACTATTTAAATGCAAAAAAGAAGCATAATTATTCATTTCAATTTAACAATAATTAAATGAAAAGCAAGTACAGGTACTGCCAAGAATCTCTTCTAATACTGTACTAGTGGACATGTGACTATTAACAAACACTAATCTCATTAAAAATAATGATTTATCTAGGCTCAGATTCATCATATTCACAGTTAAAAGTATATGGCTTACGGAGCTCTATAAATAATCAATTTTCTGATAACATTTATACCTGGTCATAACATTCTGTGCAGTATTAAATGTATTTATTTCAAGATTTCATACGCTAAATGAAAACATGTCTAATCATCTGATTACAGAGAATAAAATCCAAACATAAAAGCAGAGCTTGGGAAATTAATTCTCCACAAATTATTTGGATTTTCTATTTTTCTGAGCTGGATTATTAGAACAGATTAACAAAGTGATTTGTGTGCGTGTGTGTGTGTGTGTGTGTGTGTGTGTGTGTGTGTGTGAAGACAGAAAATGTAGGTTTTCAGTATGGCCAACTAAATTCCTTATGGATCCAATGCTTCCAAAAATAACAACTCTAAATTCTGGACAAAATACAAAAAACAAAAACAACAACAACTAAAGGCAGCCTGGGTGCCTATGAATAGGAAAATGCCTAAACAAACGGCGATGCGTTCAAACAACCAATACTGAGCAGTTTAAAAAAAAAGAACCATGCAACAACAGGACTGAATGTCAAAAACATTATGTCAAGTAAAAAAGGTCTCACACACAAGGGTATACATAGTATGATTCCTTTTATGTGAAATTCTAACAGAGACAAATCTAATCTATGGTGGAAAAACAAAACAAAACAAAACAAAACAGTGGTTTTCTCTGGAGAGTGTTTTAAGCAACCGACTCTGAAGGGGCAGGGAAAACTTCCCGGGTGGTAATCTTCACTATCTTGATAGGGGTGGTGAGTTATATAGGTGTATGCATTTGTCAAAATTTAGTGAACATACAGTTGAGATCTGTGCTTGTTATTGCATGTAAATTTTACCTCAAAAGAAAAGAATGTAAAATATTGAACTGTAGTCAATGACATGCATACTAAAATATTTAGGGGAAAAGTGTACTGATGGCTGCAATTTACCTTGAAATGCATCAAAATTAAGATAGGCACAGATAGATGAATAAATATTGATATAGCAAATATACTAAAATATTAATGGCAAAATCTTGGTGTGGATATATGCATATTCACTGTAAACCTCTTTGATTTTTCTAAATCTTCACTAAAAAAATGTTAGAGATCAAAAAAAAAAAAAAAAAAAGAAGGAAAATAACATTAGATTAATTCAGAACAAGTCCTATGAGGCTAACATCATTTCCTTTCTATTTTATCGGGATTACCACCAGACTGGTAACTCAGAGAAAAACAATTGACAATGTATTTGGACCCCAATAAATTTGGATCTCTCTTCATAATCTGATTAAGGCAAAAACCCCAGATTGCATAAATAATAATGATAATAGCTACTGCTGTGTACAATACTCTTTACTAGACACTTTCCTAGCACTTTATATATATTAACTATTTGATCTCTACAACAATGCGATGAGATAAATACTATTATCCACATTTTACCAATGGGAAAACTAAGATGTTAGGATAATTTGCTCAAGGTCACATACATGTAAGTGGAAGAGCCAGAAATTAGAATCCAAAGAGTGTGGGTCAGAACCCCTGCTCTTAACCACTTCCCCATGACTGCTCCCCTAGTTGACTCTGTAACTGATACAATGTCATATAGGGTGCTCTTGTCAAGTTTGTGGTTGACATGAAGCTAGGAGCAAAAGCAAATATAGTACTTTACAATTTATCCCAAACGATTAGGGACATGTAAATAAAAGACTAACAAGATAAAAATCCCATAGGGATAAAATATAAGATCCTGCATTTGAGTCCAAACAACCAACTTTACCTCCTGTGACAACACTGGTGCACAGCAGGTGTTGGGCAAGAATCTGTCAAATGAATGTACGACTGAGTGGCAGGGGGGAAAGAGGGTGTGAAAAAGGACAGGCTTTAATAAAACCAAAGCAAAATATAAATTTAATAGATAATGCTACAAAACACTAATATATAACTATGTTCTCTAGAAGTAGGTTAAATGAGCACTCTACAAGTCTGTTCTAGTCAGACCAATGCCAGATATGCTGTGCTAACTTCTGGGAACTACAGAGTAAAGACACAGGTAACCTGGAACAAGTTTAGAACAAAAGTGTAAGATTTAAAACTGACCTATGTGAGGTACAATGGGAAAAGCTGTGAACATTTAATGTGGAGAAAAGAATTAAATGAACACAGTAGCAAACTTCAAAATATAAGGTACTGTCATGAAAAAGAAGAATCACACTTATTCTGTAATTGTCCATAAGAATAAAAATAAAGTCAACTGAGAGAAGCTACAGGAGCTTCAGGGAAACAAAATCAGTGTCAAGGAAGACTTTTCTAACAGATATAACCACAAAAGAGAAGGTGGGAGAGAAGGGACTATCTCATAAGGGTATGAATACCCTAAATATGATAAAAATAACTCAATGAAAGATTGGACCAAATTAACCTGAAGCTCTCTTTCAAATCTAAGAACTTACTATATAATAAAAGGTAATTTTTATAAATCTGTCATAAAAAGCTTCAGATTGATTAAAATAGACTTGGCATGACAAAATTTAAACGTAAAGGAAAAAATAAAAAATAAAAGTTATTTGCCAAGTCTGTAAATGCAGAGCTTTCAGCCTAAAAACACTGTAATAAAATGCAAAAGAAAAGATAAACAAATTTGTCTACATAAATATTTAAAACTTTTACATATGAAAAACATTAAAAGGCAAACAATAAGCTATGCAATTAGGACAAAGGGATTTTATCTTTAATATAGAGCTATGGTGTCCAGTACAGCAGCCACAAGCCACATATGGCTATTTAAATTTAATTAATTTAAATTGACCTTAAATTAATTAACCATTAAAATTTTAGTTTCTCCATTGCACTAGCCACATTTCAAGTTCTTAACAGCCACTGTGGTTAGTGGCTACTGTACTGGACAATGCAGATACAGAACATTTCCATCACTGCAGAAAGTTCTATTGGAATTTTAATATTTAAAAAATTTAGTGCAGGGAATTCATTACATAGCTGATGGAAGAGCTGAGATGCCAAACAGGGGGTTGTGCATCAATGCAGAGATTAGCAACAGCAGGAAGCCGTTACCATCCCTAAGATAGAACAGAGTGCAGAGCCCAAAACCCAATGTCACCTGGAAAAAGCTGGGACCATAGCGGGTGTCTTGGGTGGGAGCTGGAGACAAGGAGGAGAAGCAGGCCCTGCTGGATAAACACCCTGATGTAAAAAGAGGGGAAGAAATACCCAACTTCTGCCTTCCTTCTGCCCTCCAATCTCCTGCCAGTACCTCCCACAGCTGAACACAGACAAAACCCAGGTGTCAAAGGAGCCTGGGAAATAATAGCCTGCAGGGGTCAGACCCTCTGTTAAAAAGGGCAGAAAAGGGAAAGGAAGAAATGTCTGGGGTCAAACAGGATGAGGCCTGGCACAGGTACAAATAATTTAGAGAGAGAAAAAAAAAAACACAAATGGCCGACATTTGAAAAATGTCCAACCTCACCAGTAATTAAATGTAAATTACAAATCACTATTAAAATAAGAATAATATTAAATTAACAATAATAAATAATAATTCAAGTACTTAGTGCTGATAAAGGTGTGGTAAAAACAGATACACTCACATATCCTAGGGGAAGAAAAGAATTTTCAAAGTATTTTCAAAGAAGCCGGAACAATTTTGAAATTAGCATCAACAAATTTTTAAACGTTTATACTGTTAGACCAACTGAGTGCATTTCCAAGGATAGATACAAAGTCTAGAAAATCTTAAGTCCAGAAAACAATTTTAGAAACAAAGATGTTCATTGCAGCTTTATAATATTGAAAAAAAAAGGGACACCTTCAATGTCCACCAGTAGGACAAAGCAAAGTAAGGCAAAGTAAGGTACATCTATCAATTTATTAAAAAATAATACTGCTTGTTTGCCAGCCACAATGAAAGGTGCTAGATATATAAAAAAGATTAAGAGGTAATGATAGACTAATTTGTATTCATTTAAATAATGTTTATGAAGGATTTAGATAAAATAAGGACGTGTTTGTGATATGCCTAGTGAATAAAGATTAATCTGAAATTGATTACTCTTACATCAAACAACATATGCCAAAAGGTTATTAGTAACAGTGGTTGCCTCTAAGTGGTAAATTTATGAGCTTATTTTTTCCTTCTTTTATATGTTTCCAAACATTCAAAATTTTCTAAATAAAAAAACAAATTTTACAGAGCTATAAAAAACTCCTTCAGAGCTATTAATGCAAATGTTTAACAACTGTAAACCTGCCACAACAGTGCCAGTTTACCTGTTACAATAATAAACTGCATTATTTGGATCCAATTCTATCGCCTGTGTGTAACAATCCACTGCAGCAGCATAATTTTCTTCTTTCATGTGGTTATTGCCTAAAATAACCAATAGGTACAGTAAGTACAATATACAGGAAAAAAAAGTCTGGAAGATAAATTTTAATCATAGAAACTACAGTAATACGAAGGTCAGCAACATGATTTTTCATTCATACTGGAAATAAATTTTATATTGTACTATAGAGTTGATACCCCTTAGCTTTCAGTGTGTTTGAATGATTTTTAACAACGGAGAGTCTTTAAAAAATTAATCTTTGACCATGCCACTCTCAAAAATTAATTTTTTAAAGACTCTATACACTACCAAACGTAAAATAGATAGCTAGTGGGAAGCAGCTGCATAGCACAGGGAGATCAGCTCGGGGTGCTTTGTGACCACCAGGAGGGGTGGGATAGGGAGGGTGGGAGGGAGGGAGACGCAAGAGGGAAGAGATATGGGAACATATGTATATGTATAACTGATTCACTTTGTTATAAAGCAGAAACTAACACACCATTGTAAAGCAACTGTACTCCAATGAAGATGAAAAACAAAATTAATCTTTTAATATCTTATAAAACCAGACTTCAATAAGTAAGTGTAACAATTATGATTACCTATTGGCAAAACCTAATCTCTTCTCACCTTCCTTATCTTCATCTCTCTCTTTCCTTTTAGAGCTGCCCCACCCCATTCCAGGTGGACCACACTCCACAATCACTATCTCAGTCTGGACCTGGTCCTCCATTCCTTCCCTGTCAAAACATGCACCTGCTGATGAGCAAGCCCTCAGAACAATTGGTGAGGGTAAGCTAGTAAAACTACTCATATCAATGTCATTGGCAGATATTTTTATGTGCTATCCCTTCCAGAGATAGATTCTCTCTTAAAAAAGATTATTGGAGATTAATTTCTAGAAAGACAGAATTTCAGATACCACAGCTAGCCCACAGCATACTGATCTTCAGGAAGGGCTTCTGCAGATACATCTGGCAATAATTTAGCTACATTAACGACTGGTCGGCAAAATAAGGGATTTCTTGTGGCTATCTTCTGTAATCCATTAAACAGAAAAAAAGTGTCATGATCACTAATAAGAACCAATGCTCAAAATTGAAATTTTTAAAACACTGGGATTACAAGGAAGTGTTTACATCTCAAAAGCCTCTATTATTCCTTCCAGCTTTCTCTGAACCAGAAGCTCTCCTATTAGCCTTGTTTTCTTAACAGATCATTAGCTACTTAATGGGAGGACAGTGTAAATTTGCAGATAACAGTAAGATTAAAGGAAAGACATGTAGATAAGAGTACCTAAAATCATACAAACGTTACTTCAAATTAAGAAGCAGAAATGAATATAAAGAGTGATTGCTAAATGAATATAAAAAGTGATTTCTACATAATTTCTCTTTGGGATGATAAAATGTTCTAAAATTGTGGTGATGGCTACACAACTCTGTGTACATACTAAAAACCAATGAATTCATACATGTTACAGTAAATCGCATGGTATGTCAATTATAGCTCAATAAAGCTGTATTTTTAAAGCTAAAAAAATTAATTTACATCTCTACCCCCAAAAAGAAATGAAGCTAAAAGGTTACATAGCTTTTATGATTGAGCAAGAAATTAACTACCTCAGTACTTAAATAGATTTGCTTCTTCCATGTAAAAGATAAATTACCCGGGTTACGTGGATTTTCTTGTTGCCATTGGGTCTTTTTGCCTTGGGATGGCATTTCTTGGGTAGTAGTAAAACCTAGTGTATGTCTTTTCCCGTAAACCACACTAAGTGTACAGATACTAAATATATATATAGCGATATTAATGATAAAAAGCTTCAAGTCAGAAAATATTCAATATACAAAAACTCAGGACACAGATATTTGTGAAGATAAATATAACTAGGCACTGCACAGCACTCTATATTTATACACAGAACTCTCCTGTCTCCTTTATCCTCAAGACAACCCTTTGAGATATGCCTTTACTTCTGTGACATGGCAGGGAGTTACAGCAATGAACCCTTCTGTTTTTGTCTGATCTTACTGCAGCTCTTCAGAAGCAAAGCACACAAAAATATTTGAAAGCAACCTCCCAGGAAGGTACTAGCTGGCCAGAAGCCCTGATTGACACAGGTAAGTATAACATGCAGCCTGTAATAACCCTATGCTTGACAGTCTACAGTGGCCATTTGTTTTCACACGAATAGCAAAATCTGTATGACAATTGCTTTAACTTTATGTGTAACATGTCTTAGATGTGACATGTCTTAGTGAAAACAAAGATTAAGAGCTTTTGGTTAAAGCCGAAAGCAGTAAGTAATTCAGTCTACCCATGCTGCCAGAGTAAATGAGCCTCATTCTGCATCTCCTTCCAACCCTCAACTTACTAACATTCATTATATCAAAACAAACTCTACAGGGAATGCAGTCCCCCAATGTTCTGCCATGCAGAGGGAGTAAATATGAGGGACAAAAATAAAATTTCAATTTGCCATTTAGTACTAGAGCTAAAACAAGAGAGCTGCAAAAGCAAAATGTTAGTTGAGCATATATTACATCACTGAGGATTTCACACACTACAAAAGTCTAAGTAGAAGGAAAAAGAAACATCAGATTAAATTGTTTCATTGAGAATAATATATGAAAAATTCATTTGTATCTGGATAGTTCAAATGCAAATTCTTTGGGGAATACTATAATTCAAAAGACAATGAGGATCTGGTTACTTTATTTTACATGTAATTTACGAAAGTCCTAATTCTAAAATTTTAAGTCACTGTAGTGATAAGATTTCTTAGAGGAAATAAAAAATTGAAAATTGAAACCAGTCTATTTGTAGGAAACACAGCATTTTCTAATGTAATCCAAAGAAGATAATCACACAATAGTGAAAATAAATATAGACAAAGATATTAAGACAGCTTTACTTAGGATTACAAAATTATCTGTCTAGGTAAGTAAATCACGGTCTAACACTATGCAGCCATTAAAAGCAGTGATACAGTGTAATTTATAGACCTAATAGAAAGGACCATGCCCAAGGAATAGGAAAAGCATACTCTTTTCCATATCTACCTTTTTACACAACAACCAATTTTTTTAAGAAAAAACTCAACTGCCTTCTTCAGAGTATAAACTAAAGAAAAGGCCAGAAAATGGTTCTGAACCATTTGTGTACAGCTTCAGAACATTGCACATTCCCTAATAACTCTCTGCCTATAGGACAGGGTCTTTGTTGGCTCTCATTCACTGGTAAAGATCAGGACTCTGCCCTACAGCTCCTTAGTACAAATCTTGTAGGCCTGACCTGGCTTGCCTCTATAGCTTAACAAAACTGACATGATATAAAAACTGAACACAGATCCTCAATGGTGACTTATTTATTAAAATCAAGTATGCTTCAATAGTCACTATTAGAAAATTTAATAACAGTAATTATGTGTGCTAGTTAATAAATCCTTAAGTGCCATATACATATATTAAATTTCAAAGAACTCAAAAATGCTAAACATACAAAAGTTAAAAATAATACTGAAAATCATTTTCATGTCTTCGATTAAGCATAAAGAATTTGGGATCCTAGAGTACACACAGCAAATACAGTTGCAAATAATCAACCCTTCAGTGACTTGTTTTGCAAGTTTTACTCACAACAGATCTGCTTCTCTTGAAGCAAGCCATACCTATATTGTTCACAAGCCATTCTGTATTTCCAGGTTCATTTCTGTTTCACAAATGCCACAAGGACTTACGACAACCCCGTCTTGGCAGTACAAACCAGAATCTTATTGGGTGACAGGGTCACTTTCCCTAGAGTTTCAGAAAGCTTTACTAAGTAATTTTTCTATGAAATATTCACCTTCATCTTTTAATTGGTCAGCTTTTCCCACATCTTCAGGCACTGAGTTTGAGAGAGGCAGAATGTCATTCTGAAATTAAATAAAATACAATGTACTTCCATTTAGCTACATAAAGAGTCATCCCAGAGAACTATAAATTAAAGTAATAATTATTTAGTATATCATCTGTAAATCTATGTCATGACATCTAACATCTAAATAACACTGTCAGCAAGAAATAGGGCAAAAGTCACCCAACATACTTTTATTAGAAAAACAAATATGTGGAATTTTTTCTAGAAAAAAACGGGCAACTGTGAATCAATTTTTTTTACTTGCTTTCACTGTATCTAGAAATCCTACTTCATAAACAAAAACAGAATCAGTATACAAAGAGTAGTAATAGAATTATGCTCAAAGGATTGTTTAGTGAAAAATTTGAAACATAATGTTAATATCCTAAGAGAAAGTCAAATCCACAGGTACCAAAAAAAGCATTTATAATATGATCTTATTGTTTAAATATAGGCACATACATTCACATGCACACAGGCTGAAAATCAAAGACTGGAAAGGTATACACAAAAGGTTAACAGTAGGAATATTTGGAAGTAGGATTTTCAGTCTCTTCTTTATATCCTTCCATATTGTCCAAACTTTTTAAAACAATGGTCATAGATTTATTTCCTCATTAAGATAATAAGCATGGGCTTCCCTGGTGGCGCAGCGGTTGACAGTCCGCCTGCCGACGCAGGGGACACGGGTTCATGCCCCATTCCAGGAAGATCCCACATGCCGCGGAGCAGCTGGGCCCGTGAGCCATGGCTGCTGAGCCTGCGTGTCCGGAGCCTGTGCTCCGCAACAGGAGAGGCCACAACAATGAGAGGCCCGCGTAAAGCAAAAAAAAAAAACAGATAATAAGCAGTATAAGATTCCTGTTTTTAGCACCTACTATCATCCTCAAACCTCTTTTTCAATAAGGTTCAAACCAAAGTGCTTATGAAAACTAAATGAAAATTTAGAAATGTCTTGAGTGGCACTGGGAACACAGTGTATTTTTACATTTTTGGAAGATTCTTTTTAAATTGTGTTGTTGTTAAACTTGACTCCGAAGTTCATAAATGTTTATAATTTTCAAAAAAGTGTAATTTGTAGTCAATATACCTATGTACCATTCAATAGTCACTATTAGAAAATTTAATAACAGTAATTATGTGTGCTAGTTAATAAATCCTTAAGTGCCATATACATATATTAAATTTCAAAGAACTCAAAAATGCTAAACATACAAAAGTTAAAAATAATACTGAAAATCATTTTCATGTCTTCGATTAAGCATAAAGAATTTGGGATCCTAGAGTACACACAGCAAATACAGTTGCAAATAATCAACCCTTCAGTGACTTGTTTTGCAAGTTTTACTCACAACAGATCTGCTTCTCTTGAAGCAAGCCATACCTATATTGTTCACAAGCCATTCTGTATTTCCAGGTTCATTTCTGTTTCACAAATGCCACAAGGACTTACGACAACCCCGTCTTGGCAGTACAAACCAGAATCTTATTGGGTGACAGGGTCACTTTCCCTAGAGTTTCAGAAAGCTTTACTAAGTAATTTTTCTATGAAATATTCACCTTCATCTTTTAATTGGTCAGCTTTTCCCACATCTTCAGGCACTGAGTTTGAGAGAGGCAGAATGTCATTCTGAAATTAAATAAAATACAATGTACTTCCATTTAGCTACATAAAGAGTCATCCCAGAGAACTATAAATTAAAGTAATAATTATTTAGTATATCATCTGTAAATCTATGTCATGACATCTAACATCTAAATAACACTGTCAGCAAGAAATAGGGCAAAAGTCACCCAACATACTTTTATTAGAAAAACAAATATGTGGAATTTTTTCTAGAAAAAAACGGGCAACTGTGAATCAATTTTTTTTACTTGCTTTCACTGTATCTAGAAATCCTACTTCATAAACAAAAACAGAATCAGTATACAAAGAGTAGTAATAGAATTATGCTCAAAGGATTGTTTAGTGAAAAATTTGAAACATAATGTTAATATCCTAAGAGAAAGTCAAATCCACAGGTACCAAAAAAAGCATTTATAATATGATCTTATTGTTTAAATATAGGCACATACATTCACATGCACACAGGCTGAAAATCAAAGACTGGAAAGGTATACACAAAAGGTTAACAGTAGGAATATTTGGAAGTAGGATTTTCAGTCTCTTCTTTATATCCTTCCATATTGTCCAAACTTTTTAAAACAATGGTCATAGATTTATTTCCTCATTAAGATAATAAGCATGGGCTTCCCTGGTGGCGCAGCGGTTGACAGTCCGCCTGCCGACGCAGGGGACACGGGTTCATGCCCCATTCCAGGAAGATCCCACATGCCGCGGAGCAGCTGGGCCCGTGAGCCATGGCTGCTGAGCCTGCGTGTCCGGAGCCTGTGCTCCGCAACAGGAGAGGCCACAACAATGAGAGGCCCGCGTAAAGCAAAAAAAAAAAACAGATAATAAGCAGTATAAGATTCCTGTTTTTAGCACCTACTATCATCCTCAAACCTCTTTTTCAATAAGGTTCAAACCAAAGTGCTTATGAAAACTAAATGAAAATTTAGAAATGTCTTGAGTGGCACTGGGAACACAGTGTATTTTTACATTTTTGGAAGATTCTTTTTAAATTGTGTTGTTGTTAAACTTGACTCCGAAGTTCATAAATGTTTATAATTTTCAAAAAAGTGTAATTTGTAGTCAATATACCTATGTACCATATTTATTTATTTATTTTTTGCGGTACGCAGGTCTCTCACTGTTGTGGCCTCTCCCGTTGCGGAGCACAGGCTCCGGATGCGCAGGCTCAGCGGCCATGGCTCACGGGCCTAGCCGCTCCGCAGCATGTGGGATCTTCCCAGACTGGGACACGAACCTGTGTCCTCTGCATCAGCAGGCGGACACTCAACCACTGCGCCACCAGGGAAGCCCTGGAGCCAGTTTTAAGAAACTGTATTTTTAAAATAGTAAGCAACAAATTTTTACAATTAAGTACAATCAGAGAGAAATAGAAGAAGAATAAAAATAAAGAGCTCTATTCAATCAATCTGAGCTTCCTGGGAGGAAAAAAAAAGTATTGATCTCTTCAGTACTAGTCAATGATAACAGGAGCTAAAGAGTGAGCAAATCCAAGTGCCGTCTCACGTACAAGCCTCTCAGGCATCTCGGAGTAAAGAAGGTCGTCTTCTGCCATAGCCATGTCCAGCCTCTGAAATAGGGCTCCCTAAGGATGCCACAAGCTCAGAAAATGAAAGAACCACAGAAACCAAAGAAAACAAAAGGACCACTGAGACATTCCACTATCTCCTTGCATCTTGTCAGATAATTAGAATTCATCTGTTTGATGAATTAATGTATAACTGTATTATCCTTTTTCCAAGTATAAAAAGAGGGAGCAGTTTACTGCCAAATTACCATTTTCATTGCAACTCTAAGAACCTCTTCCCAACAAATTCTAAAAACAGTCTGTGCAGTATTCTCAGCCATGTCCCTGCCAAGTTGAAGTATACCCTGCATGTTTCAGTTCCTCTCCTGAGTTCCTCATTCTGTACTGAAGCTTGAATACAGAGTTAGAATAATAAAAGAGGTTCATGTGGCACCAAAATGTAACGAAAAACCACGTGGGCAGCCCCCCTGTGGCCCTAAGCTCACTAGCCTTAAGATTTTTCAATCTTACAGTCCACATTTCCTGAAAAGGCCAGAAACCAGAGACCATGTAAACAGTCCTAGGGAGCAGAGATCAGAACACTTGGATTTCAGTCTTGGTTTTGCACACTGACCCTGAACCTTTCCCTGTTTAAAGAGCCCCATCAATGGCCAAATTTGATAAAATCTGCTTCAAAATGATGATGCAATTCCTGATGATTCCTTTTCTATATGGTTTCTTCCTAAACATTAAGACTTTTACTTTTAACTTGTATTTCATGTTTTCGGGGAATATCAATTCAGATGTCAGAAATCTAAAAACACCCGGATACTGTAAAGGACTTAAAAAGTCAACTACAATATATCATTAAATATAAAAGAAGGTGAGAGGATGAGAAGAGTTACTAATATGAAAATCTAAAGCACATTATAAGTTATATTTTAGGTCCCAAATCATCCATGTGGACCAACGATCTTATACCCAGGAAGAAGTTAGTTACTTAAAGCCTGGCCCCTCAAATATTAACAATCCAACATAATACTGCAGTCATACTTAGAAAATGAGATACTAATGAGAAAACAAAGACAGCTTACCTTACAGAAGGAATTTGTGAACATTTCTGTCAAAGGCTGTGAAACTGCTAGATGTGTATCTTCTGCGCTGATTTTAAAAACTGTCTCCAAGCACTGAATTGCAACTTGAAATAAATTTTAATAGTGAAAAAAAATTAGCAACCTAAAAAAAGAAACAACCTTTTTTTCTGGTAGAAATCTGCACTCTGCAATCTGTGGTAATTCAGCATTTTGATCACAGAACATATGGAAAACTAAGTGGTTCATCTGCATAAAGATTTCTGTTTATAGACCAGCTATTGAGGGAAGACAACTTAGTTTTTATTCATCACTTAAAGAAAAATGTTACCTAGAATATAATTTCTCAGTATATGTATTACATCATATTCTTTTTATAGCAGGTCATTAACAACATATTCCCCATTACCAGTATCTTGAATAAAACTTTAAAAATTATCTTTTTTAATGTGAGAAACAGAATTCTCAACCTGATTAAAAATAGTAAGAGAAACAGTCTTTGGCACATAGGAAACACTAAATATGATCCTGGTGTACTTACTTATGTTAAAATAGTTTGGCTTTTAAAAATTCATTCAGGCATGCAAAGTTACCAAGCACCGACTATGTGAAAGGTGCTGTTATAAGGTGGTAGAGATACAACAGTTAGCCTAACACAAAAATCACGATCCACGTGATGAAGTTCACCCTTAATAGAAGGAGGCAGACAAACACAGTTAGTAACGTACATGGCATGTTAAATGTTGACAGGTGCCTCATCTACATTGATGTATGACAAGATAACCAGTATGGCTAGGGTACAGACTGGGTGGAAAGACATGGTGGGCGATTATGCTAGAACAAAGTCTGTCGCTGGATGACAAGGCACCTTAAATAATATTTTTAAAGGACATGGATTTGATGCTATGGGCAAATGGAGAGCCATTGATGATTTTAGTGAAGGAGAACAACATAACTGGATTTGTGTTTAGAACTAAAATACTAGTTAAGTATAGTCTAATAAGAATGCTGGGAATGAATTAGAGAGGGAAGCTGAGGGAGAAAATGGAAGCAAAAAAGCAGGAACCCATTTATGGGTTCCTACATCAATGACCTAAACAAACAAGGAGCCTAAACTAGGGCAAAAACAGTGAAGAAAGCATATCCTGCCCTTTTTACAAGTCCTCACTGAGGGGAATGGAGGCAGATTCTTATCCTGAGAGTGCTCTCCTTTGAACAAGAATTCTCTTCTGGCTCAGCAAGATGGGGATGTAGCCAAAGTGTCCAGTGTACTTCTAGACAGTGTGGAATAGATTCACTTACATTTGTGTATGACTTTTTTTTTTTTAATTCAGTTTGTTTAAACCAAAAACAAAAATTAAAAACAGGTCACACATTCTCCCATTCCCCACTCCCCGTCTCTGGCAACCACCAATCTGTTCTCTGTATCTATGAGGTTGGGTTTTTATTATTATTATTATTTATTTTTTAGATTCTACATATAAGAGAGATCATAGGGTATCTGTCTTACTCTGACTTATTATAGATCCAATTACATTTGTGTATGACTTTTAAAAGACACATTATGGTCCTGAGAAAATTACCTCTATCATAAAGAAACACTATTACTGTCCCTATCCACAGATCAATTCTCCTTAGAAAAGGGACTAAATAACAAACTGAGTTACCAACTACCAAAAGTCAAAGTGTCTTTTAGAAAGAAAATAATGCACAGTTTACCCAACCCTCATTCTCTCCCTTTCTATCCTTGCTAAGTAGTTGTTCTTTTACTTCAGTTGTACTTGCACTAAACACACTGGGCCATAAGAAAACAGACTCTCATTGCCATGAAGACAATTAATTAAAAATCAATTATTATTAATAATAATACATGTATGTATATGTATAAATTTCTTTTTGATCGGCCTCTTTCTTTCCTTATCATATTGGTCATTTACTTTACTGTGCCATGTAGCTAGCTGGTACATGTTTCTAGTATCGTACTTATCACACATACTACATTATATGCACTTAAAACATCGGTCTCCCATATTAGACTGTCTCCTTGACGATAACGCCTACATTTTACTTATCTTTTGACTTTAACACAGCCTGGCAAATAATAGATGCTCAATAAATTTAACCTACGTCTTTGTTTACAGTGGAAGTAACAGTTTAATTTCAGAGGAAATAGAAACAATAAAATCTGCAGAAGAGAGCACTTATTCCCCCCAAAACATTAATTCACAGCCTTATGAAAGGTGGATAGAGCCCAACCAAGGCCTTAACCAGAATCAGAGTATGGAACGTCACAGCTAAACACTGAAAGGGGAAAAGTCCTCATAAAAATATGAGGGATTTTTACACTCTAATTTGTTGAGGCAATCCAGTCCAGCTCCTTTACCTCTGCTGCCACTAACCTTAGAACACAGATCTGGCACATTCTAGACACGATCAAGTATTAAATCAAAGGAGGTGGCTCTTTGGGTTTTTTTAAAACACAATTGTTCGTTTGTTTTAAAATCACTTTACTGAAGTATGATTGACATGTAAGAAGTGGCACATATTTAATGGACACAACTCAACAAGCTTGGGGATAGGTATACACCCGTGAAACCGTCACCACCATCAAGGCCACAGACATATACATACCCATCACTTCCCAACATTTCCTCTTGTCCCCTTTATTGGTGTGTGTGTGTGTGTGTGTGTGTGTGTGTGTGTGTGTGTTAACACTTAACATAAGATCTATCCTCTTACTAGATTTTCAGTATACAATTCAGTTAGCTATAGGCACTGTGCTGAACAGTAGGTCTCTAGAACTTATTTATTTTGCGTAACTGAAACTCTGTACCCTTTGACCATTACCTCCCCATTTCCTCTTACCCCAGCCCCTGGCAACCACCATTCTGCTCTGTGCTTCTATGAGTTCGACTATTTTAGATTCCACATTAAGTAAACACAATTGTTTTGATACATAAACTTGCTGCCAAAATGTTTAGTGTTCAACACTAACACATATTTAGAGAGATAAATGGTTTAGTGAAAAACCCCACCACAGCCTTGGAACTCAGGACTCTCATTATCATTATTAATCCAGAAAAAAAATCTAATAACCTGGGTGCAATAATTTATCTTACTTTTACCTCAAGATTTTCATTTATGAAACAAGGATTATTATATGTGATCCTCCTTTCGGAAGGTTATACTCAGGAATAAATCATAAAAATCTAAAGAAATTCTATATACAATTTTGCTCCACTTTAACACCAAACAATAATAGTCTGTTTGGTACTGATAAGGAGAGGGACAAGCGAAGAATTCTCAATAATACCATATCTCATCTATATAGCACTTTATACTAAAGCTTCCATATGCTATATTACCTGCCATCACTAATTCTGATTGTCTTGACAAATCTATTAGATAGAGCGGGCAGAGATCTCCACCTAACAGACTTAGAAATTAAGATACAGACCAAATGAGTAAGATGCCCAGGATCACTTGATTCAATTCATGAATTCAATTGAACAAATATTTTTTGAGCACCTATCATGTGTCAGGCACTTTTCTAGGAGCTTTGTATATAACAGTGAATAAAACAGAAAAGATTCCTGACTGCTTGGGACTGCCACTGCAGTGGGGGATGGACAGGCAGACTGTAAACAATAAACTAGACAAAGTAGAACAGGGTGAAGAGGATGGGAGCGTGGGGAGCAGAGCAGGGACGCAGGCTGCAGATTTAATGGCATGCTCAGGGAAGGCCTCATTCAGAAAAGAGGACTTGAAGGAGATGGGGATATTACCGTTATCTGGGGGAAGAACATTCCAGGCAGAGAAAACAACTGGAGCAAAAGCCTTTAGGAAAGAGCATTTGGTACATTTCATTGGGTGCATTCAGAGTGAGGAAGCTAATTTGACTAAAGTCAAATGAGAAAGAGGAGGAGTCTGTGAACAACACATCACAGAAGTGTCCAAACTATATAGATCCTTTAAACAATGACTGAGTAACATGAAGAGTCACTGCAAGATTTTGAGTGGAAAAATGATGGAATCTGACACAGACAGTTTTAAAGGATCACAGGTGGCTGTGTTTAGAAAAGTCAATGAAGCAGCAATTATAGAAGCAGAGACCAGTTAAAGGCCATCACAGTAAAAGAAATACTTAGTTCTATCCAGGGGTAATATCAGTGGAAGTGGGAAAAAGTCAAGATATCCTTTGAAGTCACAGCCAACAAGCTTTATTGAACAGTTAGATGCAGAGTCTAAGAGAAAGACAAGAGTCCAGAATGATAACAAAACTTTTGGCCAGAGCAACTGAAAAGATGGAGTTGTCATCAACTGAGTTGGGGAAGTTGTGGAATAGAACAGATTTTGGGTGGGAGGATCAGGAGTTCAGTCTTGGAAATGTTCAACTTGAGGTGCCTGTTAGACATATAAGTGGAGATAGCTAGTAGGCAGTTAGATATAGAAGCCTGGAGTTCAGAAGAAAGGTCTGACCTGAGGGTATACATTTGAGAGATATCAACATATAAAAAAGAATATTTAAGGCCAAGAAGCTTAACTGTATCATCAAAAAAGTGAGTGCAGATAATGAAGAGAAGAAGATCAAGCACCGGACCCTGGATATTCCAGGTGAGGGAAAACAAGAGGAACAAGCAAAGGAAACAGAGAAAGAGCAAACAATGAGATTAGAAGAAAACCAAGAGAGCATGAGGTATCCTGGAAGCCAAGTGAATAAAGTATATGGGGGGAGAGGGATGCGGGAATCATCATCAACTTTACCAGAGGCAGCTAATAAGTCAGATGAAGACTAAAAACTGACCATTGAACTACCTAACACAGAAATTGCTGATGACCTTGATGAGAACAGTATGAGTGGAGAGATGGAGGCAAAGGCCCACCTGGAGTGCTTAAGAAATAGTAGGAGATGGGACTTCCCTTGGTGGTCCAGTGGTTAAGAATCTGCCTTCCAATGCAGCGGGTGCAGGCTCGATCCCTGGTTGGGGAACTAAGATCCCACATGCCGCAGGGCAACTAAGCCTACGCACCGCAACTACTGAGCCCATGTGCCGCAACCAGAGCCCACGAGCTCTGGAGCCCACATGCCACAACTAGAGAAAAGCCTGCGTGCCACAACAAAGAGCCCACACGCCACAACAAAAGATCCCACATGCTGCAACTAAGACACGACGCAGCCAAAAATAAATAAATAAATAAATAAATAAATATTAGGAAGGAAGGAAGGAAGGAAGGACAGGAGAGGAATTGCAGAAAGCAAGTACAGACAATTCTTTCAAAGAGCTTTCCAGCAAGAGACAAAAAAAGCAGGCAATATTTCAGTGAGGGGAGGGGTAGGTAGTAGTATGGCAAGAGTAATTAATTGTTGTTTTTGAATTTTTAAGAAGGGAGAAAGTTTATATTCTGATGGAAATGATCTAGAAGAGACTGAAAATTTGCTCATGTAAGACAAGGAGGGTAAAATAACTAGAGTGAGAGCCTGGAGTAGGTGAGACAGGATAGAATCCAGTCTGTGAGTAGAGGGGTTTTAGTTAGAAAGGACAATGGATAGTTCATCTATGGTATCTTAGCCTGGGCTTCTATGACAGAATACCATAGACTGGGTGGCTGATAGTTCTGGAGACTGGGCAGTGCAAGATAGGTGCCAGCAGACTCAACATCTGGTAAGGACCTGCTTTCTGGTTCACAGACAGCACCTTCTTGCTGTGTCCTCACATGGTAGAAGGAGTGAGGGAGCTCTCTGGGGTCTCTTTCATAAGGGCACTAATCCCAGTCATGAGGACCCCACCTCTTAATACCATCACACTGGGCATTAGGTTTCAACATATGAATTTTGGGAGGACACAGATATTTAATCCATAGTACATGGTAATAGTTAGACAGGCAGACAGGCAGAGTATGTGAGTATAGATGCTGGTAGGTGGGTATATGGAGCAGAGAGAGTCTGTGGAAGTTGTTTTCTTATTACTTCAATTTTCTTGATGGAATAAGAACCAAGGTCATCAACAAAAAGTGAGTACGGGGGAGGAGGTTTGGGGTTTTGAGAAGGCATGAGAAAGTGTTAAAGTGCTCATCTAGAGAGCAAAAATATGAATGAACTTGGAACAGAGGGCAGCATTAAAGGTCCACTTGAGGCTCACAGTCATGAACTCAAAGTGGGACTAGTCAGTAAAGCTGGGTGTTTCATTCCATCTATACAAAGTCACATGGATATGGGCATGGAGTAGGTGGAGAGCTGGATTCAAACAAGGTTGGGTTTTACAAGAAAGGGAGCCATATACACCAGCATGATTAAAATGATCAACAACGGAATTTAAGCTGGGTAAGAAGAGGGGTGTGAAAAGGTAAGGGATCAATAGCTTGGAGGTATTGGTAGGTCAAAGAATTGTTGGGGTAGGGATTCTATAGGGAGTGAGCTGGAAAGACAGGCAGCAGAAGTGAAATGTTTAAGATAGAGATTAGGGAGGATAACAATAACAATAAGGTCTAGGGAAGAGTTTCTCAACCTCACCAACTACTGACATTTTGGACTAGACAATTCTTTACTGTTCAGGACTGTCCTGAGCATTTGTAGTATCTTTAGCAGCATCCACGGCCTCTAACAACTAGATGTCAATAATACCAGCCCCCCAGTCGTAACAACCAAAATACCTCCAGATAATACAAAATCGCCCCAAATTGAGAACGACTGGTCTAGGGAATGACCAAGCAAGTGAAAGTGGTTGAGCTCACTGGAGTACAGAAGGTCAAGGAACCAAGTGGGAGAGAACTGGAAGAATCAGGTATGAATGTATTACAATTGCCAAGAATTAAGATAGGAGTACTGCCAGAGAGACAGTGTGCAGGAGCCACGATAGTCAAAACATAAAGCAGATGTCAGCAGATGACAATAATTAAGAGTGAGTGACATAACCTGATGACAAGGCTCAAAGCTGATAATACATCAGCTTCACTGTAGTGGTAAAGCTGGTATAAGAACTTAGGCTCCTCTCCTAGGGCTTTTTAATTTTATTTATTATTAATTAATTTATTTATTTATTTACTTTTGGCTGCGTTGGATCTTCATTGCTGCACGCAGGCTTTCTCTAGTTGCAACGAGCGGGGGCTAGTCTTCCTTGCGGTGCACAGGCTTCTCATGGCGGTAGCTTCTCTTGTTGCGGAGTATGGGCACTAGGGCACGTGGGCTTCAGTAGTTGTGGCACGTGGGCTCAGTAGTTGTGGCACGCAGGCTCTAGAGCACAGGCTCAGTAGTTGTGGCGCACAGGCTTAGCTGCTCCTCGGCATGTGGGATCTTTCTGGACCAGGGCTCGAACCTGTGTCCCCTGCACTGGCAGGCGGATTCTTAACCACTGCGCCACCAGGGAAGTCCTCCTAGGGCTTTTTTAAATGTCTAGAAGGTGGGCAGACATTTCCACATGATTTCATGTTCAATTAAATTAGACTCACAGAGTCAAAAATAGGGGTTGGTCAAAAACAATTGGCACCACTCTGACTGCCATATATAACACACAGCTGAAGGCACATAGTTTTGGCCAAATACCATCCTAAAAATAGGACACAACATCTTGGTTTTTAAAACACTCTCAATTTTCTTTCTGGCCCTTAAAAGTATTATACTGCCTTTGATGAGAAAAATACATCTTTTATTAAATGATTCCATTTATCTGTTTGCTACAGAGCACCATAAACAACATTTTCCTTAGATAACCAGTCGCCTTTATCTTCACATAGTCTAACCATCGAGGAGGACAAAAAGACCCTAATGGACTGATTGCAATCTCCAACTGTGTGTCACCAGCTCCTCTCACTGCCACCTGGAAAGATAATCTCACCAGATTGCAAGCAGATTTAGAGCAAATGCCCAATTTTCATCCCAACTTCCTAAAAGCATATTCACAAGGGAAGTACTTGTTGAAATTAATAGATGTGTCCCCTCTAGACAAGAAACAGCTTGAGATGGGCAATTCAAACTGTACTTATATTAAATTCTCTCAAATGTACTGTCTCATTGCAATAATTAAATCTTTAGGCCACAAGGAAGCTGGGCTCATTGAACCTCCACAAGCCCAGCTCTAGAATTCTATCTTGTTATGGCTATACTGAATTTAAATTTTCTAATGCATAAACATGAAGCAGAAAAGATGGTGTCAAGGAAACATGCGATGCTATCATCCAAGTCCTGTTGAACTTTACAGATTACTGAATCTAATATTTAAAGCTAACATAGATAAGGGTGAAATCCTCTTATTTCAAGTCCCCCAAGAGGAAGTTATCAGAGCTTAATAGTGATATAATTATTAGACTTGCATAGCGCTTTTATGATGACTAAGGTGTTTTCATATATTGACTCTAAATTGGATGCTTTCCTATTAGGAAGAGACAACAAGATCTTCAAAGTAAGAACCAGGATTTAAATCTCAGCTTTGTCACATATTAGCTGTGTTATATTACTTTATCTGCTTTCATTTACTTATCTGTTGAATGTGGATAATAACTAACTTAACAGTTACTGTGGAGAAAAATTTCCCTACCATATGAATAGCATAGTTCTGACACATAATAGTTGTTCAATAAATAAACAATAGTTGGGCTTCCCTGGTGGCGCAGTGGTTAAGAATCCACCTGCCAATGCAGGGGAAACGGGTTCGAACCCTGGTCCGGGAAGATCCCACATGCGACGGAGCAACTAAGCCCATGCGCCACAACTGCTGAGCCTGTGCTCTGGAGCCCGCAAGCCACGACTACTGAGCCCACGAGCCACAACTACTGAAGCCTGCGTGCTCTAGTGCCCGTGCTCCACAACAAGAGAAGCCACCGCAATGAGAAGCCTGCGCACCGCAACGAAGAGTAGCCCCCACCCGCCAAAAGCCCAAGTGCAGCAACCAAGACCCAATGCAGCCAAAAATAAATAAAATAAAATAAAATAATTTTTAAAATAAATAAAAAACAATAGTCCTCTTGTTGTTAATTGTAAAAAACAAAACAAGCCTCAGAGAATGAAAATACCATAACCTTATTGTAAGGTCTCTCTCCTTGAAAAATCTACAAAATGTTCTGATTTTGATACAACAGATCATAAAGTCACGCTTATAGCTATTTTAGTCTTTATTTATAATTATAACACAAATGAACATAGAGAACAGGTACCTACCTTCCAAACTCTCTTGCTCATCTGAAGTATAAGCATCCATCTGACTTTGTTCCCGTAAGAAATGAATAACTGCATAAACTAGGTGCTTGATGGATGACATTTTTAAAGTTTAAACACTTTTCCTTGATAAGAAAAAGGAAAACACTGAAATAAGTAATTTTAAAGAATCAGTGAAGAAGATTATAAATCACAAGGGTCATAAATTACATTAAAAGTAAAAAGCCTGTATTATCTTCACTCCTTTCTTTTTAAAGAGTCAAGAGAGCACAAAGTATAGATATGTTAATGTATGACATTTTCATTTACACCCAGTAATATTAGGTTATGTTAAAACTTGCAAAAGTAAAATCTCTCTCAAAACATGTACAACATAGCTTAGATTCTCACTGAATAGTTCACTGTATCTTAACAGTTTATATGGTACAGATCCAGAAAAGGACAGGGGTATAGATGCAGATATAGAAATCCCGCAAAGGCTTTAGTACTAAGTTGAGGGAGATTTCATACTGCTGACTCAGAAGCTGATCCACGCTGAGTATTTTCCTGTTTCATGAGATTTTTTTCAAATGTATGCACAATTTACACTCCACCTACTTTTGTAGGTGGAGACAGTTATGTGATGAGAAAATATATTAGGGAAAGGTTGTTCAGCCATTGGGTGTCATTTTTAATAAAAATGGCATTTCTATTTAATCAAGACATGTCAGAAAATCATTGCCTAAGTCGATGGATACTACAAACCGACCAATGCTCTCTGCAGTAGCTGTGCTCTCGTGGACAAACTGGAAGCTCTGGGTCATGTTCATTCACATGGAATACTATCGCATCCAAACAGTGGCGCAGGGCCATCATGCATTAATGGCTTATTTCCAATAAATCGAATCATCCATCTGCTCCCCAGGTTCCCTAATTCAAATCCAGGGTGTGGTAACCACCACTAGGACGTTTATTATTTGTGTGCTTATTTTAAAAGCAAGCCCAGCCAATAGGCCACGGGGTTGCAAGTACTAAACAAGGCCCCAGGGAAAAAAAAGGGGGGGGGGGGGGGGGAGCGGGGGTGCGAGGGGAAATGGAGAAGGGCAACCTCCTCCGGGCTTCTCCCCCTTCCTCTCCCCAGAGCACATCGACCTCCATCTCCCTCCCTTCGGTACCCAGGCCTCGCCTTGGCCCTGACAGGGTTTGCTGCAGGTGCGCGGTGCAGGCCGGGTCTGGGCGGCGGGAGACGGACCCCTCCCATACAGAAGCCCCTTACCAGGGAAGAGGACTCGAGACGGTGGCAGCGGGCCCGAAGGCGTCGGTAAGTCGGTCCGCCGCCCCCCTGATTCTCCGGTTTGAGCCTGGCTTCAAAACGCAGCACTGCGAGCGGTGGCCCAAACTTCCCCGGCTCCCAGACCGCCGCCGCCCCTTAGCCCACCCAGCTGTGCGCTTCAACCCGGCTGAGGATGCTCGCCAGAACCGCCTCCGGGGCGGTGCAAGACGCACAGGGCGGGACGCGGAGCGGGCGCGGGGCGGGGCGGGGCAGGGCAGGGCGCAGGCCGGGGCGGGGCCGGGGCGGGGCTGAAGTGGGCGCCGGCTTGGGACTGACGCACGTGGGAGGGTTTAGGCGGAGCTTGCCGCCGCCGCCGCTCTTATCTCTTCCGCTAGGCCGCCGCGCGGCTTCCCGGCGTTCCGAATCCCTCACCCCCAAACCGGAGGACAGCGCGCCTTCAGCCGCCGTTGCCTTTCGGCGCGCCCATGATAGCCCAGTGCTTTTCAGCTGTGCGAATCCTCCACAGGTACCTCCCGTGCGCGGGTTAACCTTGACCTTGGGCAGAGCGGGTTCTTCTGCCCCGTCACTGCCAGGCGCCTCCGCCCAGCCTTTCCAGACAGCACCCCTCCGACGTTCCTGGAACCCTCCCTCCCCACAGTCCGCATGGTCTACCCCGAGGGACACCTGGCGCGGGAACTTGGGGCCACCTTTTCTTCATCCGCTCCCTTGAGAGGGCGTCCATTCCCCTTTGTTTGGGACTGCCTCAGCTGCAAGCAGTGAGACTGGTCCCAGGCCCAGCCCAAAACGAATGCAGAAAGATGGTCGGGATAAGAAAATCATTTGACTTTCGTCCCCATCCAGAACTGCAGACCTGTCGTTAACAGTGCCAGCAGCTGTAGACTCGAATAACAATTCTCATTTACCCCTCATGCACACCGTTAGCATACACATTGTTTAACACTCGCACAAGATGCAGCCGCTATGATTTTGCTGCTTATTTCCTTCCATGCTTTCTAATTTCCTTTTTATTTACTTCCCATAAAACATTCGGCCTCTGGCCGGGGCTAATTGACTTGGCCCCAGATGGAGGAAATGATTGCTTGGACACGGTTTGGTGCAGCCCCAGCTGGTGTTTTGGACTGCTTCCTTAGCGCCCTCGCCACACCCCTGTGCCATAGACCAGTAGCAAGATGGTGAGAGAATTAAATTCTTTGCACGGATGCGCTGGATGGAATGGTCTTCAGAAACAATGCCACTACCACCCGCATTCCCAAATCTAGCTTTGAACTGAGAATCTGAATGAAGAACCAACAGAAAAAGGGAAATATGTGTTTCTTGCTAGATCCTTATATAAAACCTTTAGAACCTAGCAATCAGCCTGTAAGCTTTTTAACGGTTTTCTGTTGTACGTTGCCACTCATCTGTGTGGAGCTTTAGGCTACTCAGTCCTTATAGTTTTGGCGCATCTGGGGACAGTAGTGATCATAAAGAGTTAATGTGATGATTTTGACCATATTTCAGGCTGTCCTTTTAGTCTGCAGGATGCAAATGGTATAGCTCTCAAATGAAGCTATACCAACAAATGAAATATATATCTTCCTATAACGCAGGTGTGAGAAGAGAGAATAAATTTCATATTTGACAGTAGTTCTCAAACTTTTTGGTCTCAGGACCTCTTTACCACTCAAAAATTACTGAGGACCTAAGAGCTTCTGTTTATGTGGGTTATATCTTTCCATATTTACCATATTAGAAATGAAACCAGGGAGATTTTTAAAGTATTTATTAGTTTATTTTAAAAACAGTAATAAATTCATTACATGCATAAATAACATTCTTAACAAAAAATAACTATTTTCCAAAACATCTCCAAAAAAATGAGTGAGAAGATGGTATTGTGGATTTTTTTCCTTTCGGTTTTTATTTTTAATTGTGGTAAAATTACATAAAATTTACCATTTTAATCATTTTAAGTGCACAATTCAGTGACATTAAGTACATTCACATTGTTATGTAATCATTATCACTATCCATCTCCAGAACTTTGTCATTATCCCAAACTGAAACTCCTCATTATCCCCTCTTCCAGTACCTGGTAACCACTATTCTTTATGTCTCTTTGAATTCGACTATTTTAGGTACTTCATACTAGGGGAATCTTACAATATCTGTTCTTCTGCGACTGGCTTATTTCACTAAGCATAATGTCTTTAAGCTTCATCCGTGTTGTAGCATGTGTCAGAATTTCCTTCTTTTTTTAAGGCTGAGTAGTATTCTGTTGTATGGATATACCACATTTTATTTGTCCACTCATTCATCCATGGACTTTGGGTTGTTTCCACCTTTTGGCTACTTTGAGTAATGCTGCTATGATCATTGGCATGCACATTTCTGTTTAAGTCTCTAATTTCAGTTCTCTGGGATAGGTACCTAGAAGGGGGATTACTGGATCACAGGATAATTCTTTAATTTTCGAGGAACCACCTTACTGTTTTCCACAGCAGCTGTACCATTTTACACTCTATTGGCAAAGCACAAGAGTTCCAATTTTTCCACATCTTCATCAACACTTGTTTTACTTATTTATTTATTTTTAAATAAGAACCATCCTAGGAGTGGCATTGTTTTGCGTTTTTGCAAAACAGATGTGTGACTTAATAGAAGGTAGCTGGATTCTTACATCTGCTAACGCGTTTATTCTGTTGCACTGGTTCATTTTGGTTTAAGAAGATGAAGAAAATCCCACCTGTCATATGTAGTTGGAAAAAGAAAAGTATTTTAATTTTAATAGACTTTTTAGATAATCATGGATATTCTTTGATATCACATCAAAGTTTGACAAGGTGTAGTTTTTTTAAGAATGGTTGCAATGTGAAATATGAAACTATCAATGTACTTTTTCTTACTGTTATGTTAAAATCCATAGGTCTGTCTTACACTTGTAATGAGTCTCTTACCTATGCATGATTTTGTAATATCAAACACTATTCATTTGGAAAATAGTGGCTCACTGTGTTATATATAGCTTCCTAATGTTGACATTATTTTACATATATTTTACATTATCAAATAATCATATTCCTTAATATCATCATCCCATCATAGAAGTCTTCAAATACTAGAAAGCTGGTAAGCTCATGGTGGCAGATACAATTTTTCAAAATTCTAATTTTCATTTGAAAGCTGAAATTTTATCATCGGTAACAACTACTATCAGTTGTTTTCCTTGAAGTGACAGCCTTACTGTGTTACATTTTTGAGAGTATTTCTGCAAAACACTTAAGTCTGAGTAACCATGGTTTGTCTGTCAGTCATTTTTTCAAGTATAAATGGTGTTCCATGAGAAAAGCAGCTATTTCAGTTCACAATTCAGTCAGTTGCACAAGTGCTTTTAATTTGCACAACCAAATCCTCTGGACAACCATTGTACTCAGGTACTCAGCTGGTGCACTTTATGCCTACTTTGCCACACATATATTTAATGGTTGAGATTTAATAAAATTAATAATTTTGACTATCTCATCAAGGACATTCTAAAGTGAAATTTACATTATTTTTAGCATGGGGGAGTGACAGTGAAAAATATAATGACTACTAGGACAGTTCGGTGTCATTGCCTTGATTTGTTCTAAGGTGCCAACAATTTTATCTACCATTGCTTTTCACCATCAGTGCAGATGTCAACCAAGTGTAAAAGGTAAATAATGTCTTAGTATTTTTATGAAATACTTTCAACCTCACACACTCCTTGAAATGGTCTCAAGAACCACTCCTCATAGGATTGCAGACCACATTTTGAGAACCACTGGTATGTGTTACGCATATTCTTTGTTTATGCATGGAAGAAAATAAATGTAAAAAGCCATACAATTATTACTTTTTTAGAAGCTAGCAATCTACCAACTATTTTGTTACTTAAGGGCATATATTGCAGTTAATCAACATACTCTACAGTAGTAGTAGTCATCCACCCATGGTTCTTGTGAGTGACTTAATCGCAGAATCTCTGTTTCAAAATCTGTATCTTCCTAAAGGAGTCAGTACTTGACCGACCACATGGAAGGCCGTCTATGTACTCCTGATTTCCTGTTTCCTTTGACACTTGGAAATTCATTTTAGTGTTATATGAGTAGCTAGGTTTTTACTCAACTGGCTTATGATTTCTCTTGGGTTTTCCTGTTGTTATAGTTGCTATATACTCGTTTCCCAAATCCAGCTTTGCAGCCAGGATCATTGATGGGGGTATTTAGCCAATTTCTTGGGAATAAGTAGACTGGGGATCTGAAGACTGAATTGTAGTTGCTGTTCAACTAACCTTGTGACCTTAATTAAATCATCCAATTTCTCGGATTTCTCTTGAATTCCTTTTTTTTTTTTTTTTGCGGTACGCGGGCCTCTTACTGTTGTGGCCTCTCCTGTTGCGGAGCACAGGCTCCAGACGCGCAGGCTCAGCGGCCATGGCTCACTCCGCGGCATGAACCCGTGTCCCCTGCATCAGCAGGTGGACTCTCAACCACTGTGCCACCAGGGAAGCCCCCGAATTCCTTATTTTGTAAAATGAAAAGGACTAGATTTTTTTTTTTTGCGGTACGCGGGCCTCTTACTGTTGTGGCCTCTCCTGTTGCGGAGCACAGGCTCCAGACGCGCAGGCTCAGCGGCCATGGCTCACTCCGCGGCATGAACCCGTGTCCCCTGCATCAGCAGGTGGACTCTCAACCACTGTGCCACCAGGGAAGCCCCCGAATTCCTTATTTTGTAAAATGAAAAGGACTAGATTAAATGACATCAAAGATTTCTTTCAACTCTTATTGCCATAACGATTAAACCAGAAGAATTTCCCCTCCTAGAGACTAGATTGCAGAGCATGTGAGCCAAGCAAAATCTGATGTACCTTATGGAGTAAGGGATGGATGGCATGGTCAAAAAAATGAGAGAAGTGATTTAACAGTACTTAGTCCAAATTATAGCTATAATAGCCCTAGTTTACTCTTTCAATTAAAAAAAAAGCAGCTTGGTTTGTGAAATTATGAGAGCAATGCATGTTCCTTGTAGAAAACTTAGAAAATATTGATAAGCAAAAGAAAATACACCCAATCCACCCATCCAGAAGAACCAATTATTAATAGCTTCCAAAATCTTTCCCGTGTAGAGACATATTTTTAACAAATATGAGATTATA